CCAATAAATAGCTACGTGGGACGAAACATGCTATTTTCCGGCAGCGATGACGCTATTTTTCATCATTGTTTTGCCTCAATCTTATGGTATGGGGCTGATTCAACTTACTACGGTAAAAGAATAAACAGAAAATTGACTTTGACAATCCAGTTTTGCCGTCCTGAAATTGTATTTAATGCCTTTAAGCCAATACCAAGATTAAAATTGGAAGATACAGAATCAGTACACGATACGACGAATGTACGTCACAATCCAACATAATACTGATGAACACTGACAGGGTCACAGCCTCTTGGACCAAAAATAAGCCGAAATGACCTTTTTGTGACCATCAGATAAAACTCAATTATAGCAGTTACATTCATTCACGATCACGAGCGCTGCAGCCGCCACTGTTCTAATTACATTGCCCACATTCGTCTGCTTTGATGTGACTGTTTTTGCTAGATATTCAACAGGCTTGGGCACGCAAATATCCATATTTTCGACTACTTGCAGTAAGCCCGGAGTATCGCTACGCTTTTGAATAGAACGTTTGGCAGTGGTTCAATCTCTGTGAAATCTTTAGGTCGGTTCAGCATAAAATAGAGCTCTGTTAAGCATAAGACTCAGGGGTTTGGGGCTGCCAGTATCTATCTGTGATCTATGTTGATGTCACGTAAGGTCCAAGGAAGCCTTTCATACACAGAGGCTGTATAAAACTTTAGAAGAAAACACGCCGTAACCTTTAACAGATGATGGGTTAGATTCCCTGATGCTTTTGGAAGCTGCAGGTTCTTAGCTTTCCTGATGCTTTTGGAAGCTGCAGTTTTGATATCAAAGAATTGATAGATATTTTTCTGCTTTTAGCGAAATTTGACTTGGCTAGAAAGGGTGTTGTTACATACAGAACCATGGTCGGGCACGTCTATGAAGGTTAGACATCGAAATAATAATGAATGAAGGAATGAATGAATGAATGAATGAAGATTTTTATTGTACACACATACCCACTGGGTTAAGTACAGGTCACGAAGGAAGAATGGAATACAGATAACGTTACATGAGTAACTATAACTAAGTAAATAGTCTGTTTCTTCTCGTTTCTACCAGTATTAGTAAAAAGGTAAGAACAGATACAGTATGTTTCATGATAGAAGGTTTGTCTAAGCTCATTAGAAATATAAATTTTTCTGTACTGCTTAGGTGTATGAAGGAGTGGAGCATGGGTTGTATCAGACTATAAAGTTCTGCTTTCTCTTTATATATATATATGAGATACACAAGGAATTGTTACTCAAGCAGCTGGATAAATTTCGAAAACTGTCAGACATTTCAAATAGCATCCACTACTTTCGCCAGAGACACGCTCAGGCACAGTTTTGTATATAGTCCATTCGTATCCAGAATCATGCCTGGTACAAATCTATGGTCTTGGATACTATCCAAAGGCTATCCAAAACGGTGCCAGATCCTAACCCTAACTCAATAAGAAATAAAACTAAAGAAACACGGCTCTTGATGTAATGGGGGTTTGCATTTGCTTTATACGAACTGTGCATAAAATTATGTTTACCTGTGAATATATAATATGGAATAAATCAACCTTGTCCTGGAGAATTGATTATGAAAGCAAACAGATGGCCCCCAAGTGTGTAGTTATCATATAAACGACAATGAACAGCTATTTTCCAAGACACAAGAAGGGAATGTATTCATATATCAAAATATTATCAAAAAGTTAAGATTAGAATGATATGGAGATCCGTATGTTGCTTTTTGTATCTTATATTCCTATATCTCACTTCAACATGTGTTTATTCCTATGCTGTATCAAAGTAGACTCCTGTGTATCTAAGTTATTAAACTTTAACGGCATCCGATGCTATTTCAGGTTGGCAA